GGGAAAGAAGAAGAAGAAGAAGAAGAAGAAGAAGAAAAAAGATTTGCCGATAAGTCTCTGACAAGAGCAGCACTTATTTGAACCAGGAACACGAAGATGGGGGAGAGAAAGGAAGGGTACATGACCCTCAAAGCATGACAATAGGGTTCCAAACTTGCAACACCAGCAGTCAGCAGCCACTGATTAGTCCTGACCTGCCGGCCGGTTGACCTATCATCAGGGACTGCTGGCCAGACCATTAGCTTCCATAGAACCCACGGCCCCGGAACAATACTCCCTCACCTCAACCCCACCCTTACCCCTCATTTCAACCCCCAACCAAAACCCCTGTTCAGCCCCCTCACTCACTCCTCCTCCTCCTCTTCTTCCTCTCGTCCTCCTTCCTCCTTTGTCTTTGCTTGGTCATCAGAGTTTCCACCACATGACACACTGAGAATGCAGCCCGGCCTCGATCCCTCCTCTACTACCACCTCCTCCTCCTCCTCCTCCTCCTTCTGCTGCTGCTGCTGCTGCTGCTGCTGTGGTGGTGGCGGCTGATCCTCTTTTTCCTCTTCCCTTTTGTCACTGTTCACCACGGTATGACAGAGTTATTATCCTTCTCTAAATCTGGATGCTTGCGTTGTTTCAGGCTAAGTTCATCTCTCCGGATCAAAAATCTCCTGTGTTCGCTTACACCACCACTGCCCGACAGCTTGGTCCTGGAAAAAGAGGGGGTAATCGGATAATGTGGGCAGGTCGTCCGTCCGTACAAGTACACCGCAGTCCCCTTTTCTTGTGCGTCAGCATATCTACTTGGTGGCCGGCCTGTCCGTAAGTGGGGTGGGGGTGGGGGCTTGGCAGTTATCCAAGCCACAGCAAATCATGAAAGGCCTCTAGGGGGGTGGGGGGGGAACTTCGCAGTTATCCAAGCCACATCAAAAAAAAAGTCATGAAAGGCCTCTAGTCAAGACAACATAAGCATCCTTCTCGGCTGACCATTTCAACTTCTTGTCCTTGTTGTCTGGATTAACCACCCATTCACCACCATTGTCTTGACACTTGATAGAGACCACAACCTCACCTCTCTTCAGTGATCGCTCTTGGAGTTCCCAGAAACTGAGGACCTCGCCATCGCAGACCAAAGTGGATGCCTGACGAAGCTTGAGACTGCTGCCTTTCTCGGACACAATTTCGTCGAGAACGGAACCGACGTCCGAATCTTCTGCCAGATGCGCAAGTATCATCGCCTTGACCTGCTCTGCATCAACCTTGTCGTCAATCCAGCCTGTTTGCACGCGATCCAGTGCGTCAAAGTCGCTGTTATGTACCTCGGCAACTATGAATGAATCGACGCAACCTCGCTCCACCTGCAGGCAGTCAAAGTACAGAGGTGTTAGGTTTCTGCTCAATGCAGAAACATAATAGAATACACAGCAGCGGCTCCGTCAATATGGGATGTGGGTCATATGCAAAAGCAGATGCCAGGCGACAATTGACAGGTAACCAAGGCGACAGGAATGAGAGTTCAATGAGGCAAATACAGAGCTCTGAACACTGGTAAAGAGGGAGATGAAGGCACAATCGTCCGCAACACGCAAGCGGATGAACTCCACACCACACAAAGCCCAACAGATAAAGGAGGGTTACTACAGAAACATATTGGGCCAAGGGAAGGTGGTGGAGGTCCAGGAATACGGACTGCAATGGACATGGTGGCTACAGGGAGGAAACGCCACAGACTAAGAAGGATCAGGGATAAGACCGGTGCTTCACCACGAGACCAGCTACCAGGATAAATTAGGGTTTCGGGTTTGGGATCTTGGCAGTCTTTTACGAATTCATGGCAGAAAACTTATTATTATTATTTTTTTAAACTACACTATGTTCTTCTCTCAGATTCGTTTTTCGCCTGTCACTACCTTCCTACCACTACTCCTAAGACTATATAGAGGGGACCCCTGCAAGCATAGGGCCTCGCAAACGAGGTAATTCATGTTGCCCCCCGCCCCGACAGCGGTAGTCAGAGATGGGGTGGGGCCGCCCGTGGGGGTCAGGCTAACGCAAAGACCGAGCATTTTGCGAGTAGCTGCGCCTCCCTTTCTCATCGTCCCCCACCCCTCATCGAGTAGCAGCAGAGGCTATGGCCAACACTCTCCCACACACCACACACAACCCACTCGCGCTCACACTCACACCCGTGTTGGTCATAACCCCCGCAAATACCGATCAGGGGTATCCAGAGGACTATCACAGTCCGTTGGCACTAAGTGCGCCGCAGGCGGCCATGGGGCTTGAACCCACAACCTCCTGAATGCCACTTGCATGCTTAACCAACTGAGCTACGCCGCTGGATAGAAAACTGATTTTAATGCGGCAGCTGCTTTCAAAGAATGGACAAAAAAAAAATAAAAAAAAATCTACTCTATGTCGGTCTATGAATGTGAAAGCAGTTAGATACAGAAGTAGGAGTACATGTGAGAGTACGCCCTAAGTCAGGGCGTTACAGAGATGCAGTCATCACAGCAGGTGCTTGCAAAAACGAAAAACCAAAAAAGAAAAAAAAGAAAAAAAAAAACTCTCTGGACGTGAAGAAAGTTGGATACAGAATCTTGAGTGTGTGTGAGAGGCACGGCACATTCCGTGCCATGCGTGACAAAGTGTCAGTCTATTGGTGGAATGCGCCGCGCCTCACTGGCAGCGCACTAAAAAAAGGACAAGAAAAAAGGGGAAAAAAAAAAAACACACAAAAAAACAAAATCTGAAGCTATCCATAATTGTGGTTAGACACGTTCCTGGAAGTCTTTATGTGAGCACACCTCATTCTCAGCCTACCGGTACGTCATTCCTTTGAGCACAGTTGCTTCCGGTTTTAATTTGTTTCTTGTGTTACAAACGGGCCCGTTCGGCCTGACGGAAGGAAGCGTGAGGGTGTTCTATGATCTATGATGCATTTATTTTTCCTGACTTGCCGGTGGAATAGGAACCGGACTGATGCTCCCCGGAATGGAAATGGAGCCACGGCCATAAGGACCTGTTATTAAAAAAAAAAAAAGAAAAAAAAAAAATGGGCCCGTAGGGCCCAAACCGTTTCTTCTATCTGACCCACCTAGGAACCTCCAAACTTCTCGGAGTAGGACATTTTGTCATTTTCCCACTTTTTTCCCAACAGTGAGAAAGGTAGTGGTGGTTTCACAAGATTTGTCAAAGTGGCTCACTTTTCATTTCCTCATTCTCTGTTAAGACTGTGTCAAGTATCAAGCGTTGTTGCGACGTTAGCCATGCACATAAGTGCAGTAACCCTGTTCAACAGCAGACCGGGGCTCAGA